GGCTTGAGCTCCACCTGATTGAAGGTCTTGCCATTGTATACATTCACCTTGCTGCCCACCATCTCTGGCAGGATGATCATGTCCCAAAGGTTTGTCTTCACCACCTCAGGCTTCTCCATGGGCAAAGCCTCCTTCTTGGCCTTGCACAGGTGTTTGAGCAGCAAGTGCTGCTTCCTCCGAAGGCCGCAGTTGAGGCACCACTGCTGCTGGGCTCTGCATAGCTGCATGAGCTGCTCATAGGACAAGTCCAGCAGCTGGTCCAGGTCCACGCTGTGCTAGGTGAACTTTCGGAAGGTCCACTTCTTCTTCTGCTCCACTTCTGCTCCCTTTTTGGCTGCCAGACTCTATCAGAGGGTGAGCAGGACAGAAGAAAGCAATCTAGAAAATGGACTAGAAATTTCCATCCAGAGGTGGTGGATGGTGGGAGGCAGCAGCGGCAGCAAGATGGTCCGTATCACAGGCAGGAGTGTCTGATCATCAGTTTGATTCGGTAAGAGGAAGAACCGGGTCATGGGAGACCCAGGCATTCCTTCTGGGTTTTGGCGCCATATGTATGGAAGTGTGCAGCAAAGATCACTGACTGAAACAACTCCATGGGGAACAGTAGTTTATTGGGGACAAACTGCTGGACTGCCTCCTGGGATCAGAGAGACAACACCTGTTTTTGGTTTTAATGAAACAGAGCCAAGTAGCCCAGACTGGCTCCTGCCTGAGTCTCTTAAGTACTGGGATTACAGGTATACAGCAACCACCATGCTGGGCTTGAACAGAATTTTGTAGGTGGAACAGATGGGCTCACATGGAGCTGTGAGGGAGGAAGGCAGGGTTGCAGGTAGTGGACAAAGCTGTGTTGTAGAGTCCAAAATTCTGGGTGTGAACCCAGCTGGCATATCACTGAGAAACTGTGATCTTGAGATTTTCTTATTCTTTGGACCTGAGTTTTGTTCTTCCTCCCTCCACCTCCCCCTTCCTTTTCTTCCTCTCTCCCTCTCCTTCTCTCTCTTTCAGTGCTGAGGACCAAACCCAGGGCTCTCTAGGCAATTGCTCTGCCACAGGACTGAACCCTCACTCCTCTCCTTCCCCATCCTCCTTTCTTTTTCTTTCTTTCCTTCTTTCTTTTTTCCTTTTTTTTTTTTTTTTTAGTTTGTTTGTTTGAGATGGGATCTCACTATGATCTCACTATGTGAGCTCTGACTGGCCTGAGGATGGATGGCCTCAGCCTCTTAAGCCACCATGTCCAACTCCAAGCTTATTTATTTTTTTATCTGTGTATGTGTGTGTGTGCATTTTCTTTCTTAAAATGTTTTAAGTTTTTATGTGTGTTAGTATAGTCTGCATATAAGTGCATGTGTGTCATGCAATGCCCGTGGAGGTCAGAAGAGAGTGTCAAATTCCCCTGGAACTGGAGTTATGGATGGTTTTTTTAGCCACTGTGTGGGTGCTGGGATTCAAACCCGGATCTTCTGCAAGAGCAGTCAGTGCTCTTAACTGCTGAGCCATTTCTCCAGCTCCCCTGTGCATGTATTTTCAAGACAAGGTCTCAGATCGGTAGATCGGTAGATAGATCGATCGATCGATCGATAGATAGATAGCCTGGCTGGCCTCAAACTCTTGATTTTCCTGCCTCAGCCTCCTGAGTAGCTAGGATTTGAGGCCAGTGACACCACACTTGTCTCGACCTTAGTTTTCTTTCTTTTTTTTGCGTGTATATGTATATATGCATATGTGGTGTGTGTGTCTAGAGATTGACATCAAGTGTCTTCACTACTGCTCTTTATTTTACCTTTTGACAAATGCTTTCCCACTGAACCCAGAGCTCACTGATTAGCAGGCTCTGGGAACTCTGCCTCTACCCCACCAGTGCTAGGGTCATACTTGGCTCTTTTACATGGGTGCCAGGAATCTGAACCCAGGTCTTCATTCTTGCATGCAGGCACTTTACCAACTGAGCCATCTCCTTGGCACCCCCCCGCTTTTTTTTTTTTTTTTTAAATAGGGCTTAACTGTAGCCCCGACTGGCTTGGAACTCATTATGTAGCCCAGGGTTGCATAGAATTCATGGCAAGCCCCCTCCCAGCAAGTGCTGGGATTACATGCATGAGCCACCATGCTTGGATCTTAACATTAGTTTGCTATCAGTGGATAGATAATATGGCCTCTCTATTTGCTACATGATTGATATAAGAAAGAAAAGAGGCAATGGGACGGGCATGGTGGCACATGCCTGTAATTCCAACATTTGGGAGGCAGAGTCGAGATTGCAGTTGGAGATCAACCTGGGCTACACAGAGAGACGGTGATTAAAACAAAGAACAAATAGCAACAACAGAAGATCAAGCAATATTTGTGTTTTGTCAGCAGTATATCATTGAACAAATACTGAACTATGTTACCAGGGAGCGAGTCAGTTGCATGGGAGTATCATAGAGCTCAAAGAGAGTTAGGTGACATGGGGGATATCTGTTCTGCAGTGAAGATGAAAACATAGACATAGGAGCGCATGTACACACACACACACAAAGTTTCCACACTGGGATGGATCTTCTGGGCAATGGGAGACTTAAGTCCACCATCAGTGAACCTACCCAGAGGCCCTCATGTCTCACTTGGAAAGTAGGTGGCACCTGGGATATAGCTCAGTGATAGAACATGTGCTTAGCATGTGCAAAGCCCTGTGTTCTATTCCAAACATTACACACTAAGAAAGATGGACCTGAGGTGGTACATAAGGTCCTGATCTGGAGGCTTTGGACAGTCTTTAGACATCTGGGGAGTCATGTGTTGCTGTGAGTAAAAGCTTGGTCTGTATGTGTTCTGGAGCATAGAATCCATAGTCTCTGTCCATCTTGCAGAAGGATTAACCCAGGAAAGGTTAAGAGTCATTGATTTTCTCACCAGAAATTAGTAACAATAGCTATCTTTAGGGGAAAGGCCTGGAGGAGGAAGGAAAGGGAGATTTCAACCTAGCCAGGGTGTGGTAGGGAATGCATGAAATTTCAGCCCTCTGGAGGTAGATACAGGAAAATCTCTGAGACCCTATGTCTTAGTTTGTTCTTCATTGCTGTGACGAAACACTCTGACCACTACCAACTTGGGGAGGAAAGGGTTTATTCAGCTTACAACTCCCAGGTCGCAGTTCATCAGGGAGCCCAAGGTAGGAGCTCAGGGCAGGAACCTGGAAGCAGGAGATGGAGCACAGGCCATGGAGGAATGCTGCTTACTGGCTTGCTCTCCTGGCCTCTGCTCAGCCTGCTTTCTTATGCAACACAGGCCCACCTGCCCAGGGGTGGCACCACCCACAGTGGGCTGGGCCCTCCCACATCGCTCATCAAGAAGATGCCCTTCAGACATGGCCACAGGCCAGTCCAATAGAGGCAATTCCCTGATTGAGGCGCCCTCAACCCAGGTGTGTCAAGTTGACACTAAAGCGATCCAGCACACCCTATCTCAAGAAACCAAATAATAGCTGGGTGTGGTGGCGTAGGCTTTTAGATCCCAGCACTCTGAAGGCAGGGGAAGCAAATCTCTGCGAGTTCAAGACCAGCCTGGTCCACACATCAGTTCCAGGCCAGTCAGAGCTGCTACATAGTGAGACTCAAATCCTTCCCCTGAAAGAAACCAAGTAATAATAAAAATAAAACAAAATTTCAGCCTTTTTGAACAGTTTGAACGTGAATTGGCTTCATTGAAAAGAATGTCATTGGATTATCTGGGTGGTGAGATAATGGCCCTTTTTAAATTTTATCTTATAACCCTCTTTGTGTTAAACACAAGCAATACAAATACTATTGATATATTTGTAAAACCCTGATAGTATCATTACACATTTAGGTATGTCACTCCATTATGCAAAGTGCATCCTCTAGTATATAAAGCAAAGCATACATTTACCTCAAACAGTAAAATCTGTACATCAAGCAACGACACAGACAAGAAGTTGGACGATTTCAAGAACTCAGACAAGAATAAATATGATCCCTAACACCTGCCACCCCAGCCTTGATCAGTGGTTGAAGAACACCCTGTCTCAGAACTGTGTGTTTCAGCTGGCCATTTAAATTTAGTAGTCAAAGACTGGTAAATGATAAACCATGGTAAAACCTTCAAAAGGAGAATGTTTTGTGGGCCTTTTGTCTCAGTGTTTGGCAGTTTTATTAGTTTTAAAAATCTGTACTTTTTAATGGAAACAATTTGGCCAAAAATCTATCACAGAATTTTGAGATGCATTAAAACAAAGTTTAATGAGGCGAGGCGCGGGGGGGGGGGGGGGGGGGACACGGACAACCCAGACACTTAAAATGGCAAATACTTTCGTGTCAGCATCATGTGCTAGCTGTCTGAATTTCTGTGTAGTGGCCAATAAGCCCGCAGGTGGGTTTGATGCTTGAAGCGGTGGAACAGAGCACTGGGTTATATCCACTATTCTCCCCCACGCAATCTAGTAATTACTCTAGTTCTACGTCATATTTCCGGGTTTATGTCCCGACTCACGCAGAAACTTAAGTTCAAGGCAGCCAGGAGTCGCCCATGTTCTTTTTGTTGCTCCCAGAAACCCAAACGCCGGAGTTGGGCCCCAGATACCTGGAGAACGCCTAACTGGCTGATTCCCACGTGGTAAGAGGCTCTCAATTTCGGCCCCCACGTGGTGCCAAAAGGCCGGGGGGAAAAAGGAGAGCGGGCAGGAGGGAGCCGTATCTGGGCATTTAAAGTGTCTTGACGTCACGCACTGCCAGGAACTCAGCTGAGTTTTCAGCAGAACATTCTGGTAATCTTCCCTCCCTCCCTCCGCGCCTTAGTGCGCTGGGCCTATGCGCTCCGCTCGTACGGGGAGGGCGGAGCACGAAGCCCTCGGAACAGCCAGCACGGGGAGGCGTGCCCAGCTTCCGTGTGACTCCGCCCCCCTCTTCCACAGGCTCTTCTCATTGGTCAGGGGGCGGGGCTTCGTGTGCACAGCGCACGCATAGCGGCCTCTGGGTGGCCCGGCGAGTTGGCCGTTCATTAATTATGCATGAAGGCGTAGCTTGGCCAGCTGGGACTGCGTGGGGATTGGCTGAAGGGGCTGTAATTCAGCGGTTTCCGGAGCTGCAGTGTAGACCGGGAGGGGGAGCCCGGGGTTCCGACGTCGCGGCGGAGGGAACGAGCCCTCACCGGATCCCTGAAGCGCACCCCCGCTCGGTGCCGCCTGTCCGCGTCGGCTCGTAAAGGCCCTCGGGAGCCCCGTCGCTCGCACCCGGCGCCAGCGCAGCGCCTGTCGGGCCTGAGCCCGGGAGACAGGTGAGGGGCACAGGGTGGGGTCGCCTCCCCGACGACGCGCCGGCCCGGGAACCCCGGGGTGCTCGGCGGAGTTGGGAATGGACATTCGAGTGGGGCAGGGGTACGTGAGGACACACAGAGGGTCGTCCTGGAGGGACAAGTGCCCGGATGACAGGAGCCGGCCTGGGAAGGGAACCGGACTCTGGAAGTCGGTCTTGGAGAAGGGGAGATGCGGAGGCAGGGGGATCATGGTAATTCCAGGGGTAGGACCTCGGGCCGAGGGCATTCTAGGCTGAGGGTGGCGGAAGTGGGCGACCGCCCTCCAGCCCTGCTCCTGAGACTGGGGACATTCCGGACACGGGAGCCACTGTCACGCCGACGGAGATCACAGGGGTGGGGGTTTGGAAAGTGCTTGGTTCCCACCCCGGCGCATGGCGGGGCTGAGCCACTTCCTCTGCCATGCCCAGCCCCTGCTCCTTCTGGAGCCAGGAGTGCCCCTGTGGAGGTGGGAATGGGTGTCGTTGTCCCCCTCCGCCCCAACCTCGTGGACTGGATGGTTGTGGGCACTATTATTGCATAAGAATCACATTTCCTGTAGGGAAATGGGCAGACCTGTGCTCTTTCTATATTCTCTCCCACCTTCTCTAGGTTAAGCCGTTCGTCCTCTCACTGTGTTAAAAACAGTCTTTTTAAAAAAGGCAAAACAAATCCCTAGTCAAACCAGCTCTAAAGAGCAACAAACCTCTTTTCTTTTTGACATTGTTCTCATATAAACACCTGGTAAACTAGACCAGACGATAAATAATTGAGCCATTGCGTTTACTGGATTGTGGTGTTGCTTAATTGCATAGGTCGGATTGAGCCAATCAAGAGTGGGAGTTTTCTGTCTCAGAGCCAAGATCTTGAGTAAATGCAGAAAATAGGGAAACAAAGACTGGCTGGCCTTGGCTGAGCTCTGTGAGCAAACTTTACCTGTTGGGGGGTGTGGCTGTAAGTTAGCAAAATTCAAACTGTCACTCAAATTGCTCTTCTGTATTTACTCCATGTCACTCTGTTATGTCAAGTGGTGTGTGTGTTATCGCAGTCAGTGCTTAGTCATTCATCTAAAATTTGAAATACATATAGTTTATACCTGCAAGTTTTTATATCCAAAAAGTTTTTTTCTTCTGTGTGTGCTTTGTAGATTTTGGGCTGACCGTGCTGATAATGCATTGCTTTGAATAAATCAAAACAATAAATGTTATGTCCCGATCTGGTGTCTTTTATTTTAAATGATGCCTGTGTTCCCTAAGTTAACATGTTTAATTATTGCATGTGCCAGACCTGGAGAAGAAAATCTGGAATAATGTTTTTTTGTTGTTGTTTTTTGGTTTTTTTTTGGTCTTTTTTTGAGACAGGGTCTTCCTGTAGCCCCAGCTGACCTGGAACTCACTATGTAGACCAGGCTGGCCTTGAACACACAGAAATCCAGCTGCCTCTGCCTCCGGAGTGCTGGGACCAACTACAGGCATGCACCACCACGCCCGGCTTAGATAATAATTTTTTAAAAGTTGTGTTTGTTCTTAGTCTGTTAGCACGCTTACCACAAAGAACCATTAGCAGATTCATGAATCTTTTATTTTCATATGTAGTTCATTGGGGAAGAATAACCACTTAGAAGAAATAATCTACAATTACCAGGATCCACTGAGGGCTTGTGTGGTAGGTAGTTCACAGAACATTAACCTCATTTTGTAGATAAGGAAATTGAGGCCAAAAGGACAAGATACTCACCCAAGGCAGCAGTGCGTCATAATGGTGAATTGTACCTTTGTATATTTCTTGTTCTTTTGAGTGTTAATGCTTAAATATTTAGTTTGGAGCTTAGTCCCTGGTGGGAAGGGCCAGCGAAATTCTGGATATTTAAACACTACCAGCAAGCTAGAATACTCAGGGAGAGAAATACTCAATGATTATCCACTCTTCTGTGTCTTACTTGGGAAGTGATTAACTGTTGGGTTTTTTTTTTCCCCTTGTCAGCATAATTTATGATCAGAATTTAGCTGTTAGCTAATGGAGATGTTTAGGTAAGTTTTAGGGAAAGGGTACCTGTGACCTAAATGTCATTTAAACCAGACAGCCTTGTGGCTTGTTCAGTGGTCATTTCTGTCTGCAGAAAGCTGCTTTTTCCTTTCTCCCTCTATAGGCCTTGACATTCAGGTGTGAGAAGGGCAGAGGTAGTGAGCCCTGTTCCAGAAGCCTAAGCCCAGCAGCCTTTTGGCTGATGTTTTCTGAGAGGTAGTATACAATTCAATAAATAGCTGTGAAAGTTGTTATGGAAAGTAAGATGTGTCTTGTTTGTAGAATTTGCAGTCTATTGGGGGAGCTTGATAAATGATTTAACCGTCATCTAATGGAACAGGTTGATGTCCCTAAAGAGAGAGTGAGGCATTACACCTGTGTCTTCCCTCCCTCTCTCCCTCCCTCCTTCCTCCCTTTACTTCTTTCACCCCATTCCCTTCCCCCTCCTTCTGTTCCTTTCCCTTTCTGCTGGGATGAAACCTAGGGCTTCATGTGTGCTAAGCAAAGTGCTCTACCACGGAACCACACCCCCAGTCCCACCACTCATGTTTTATACCATTCATATTTTAAAATTATAGTCAACCTTTTTTTTTTTTTTTTTGGTCTTTTTGAGACAGGGTCTCCCTGTAGCCCCAGCTGGCCTGGAACTTGCTATGTAGACCAGGCTGGCCTGGAACTCACAGAGATCCACCTGCCTCTGCCTCCCAAGTGCTGGGGTTAAAGGTGTGGGCCACCATGCCTGGCTTCAAACTTTTTAAAATAGAATAAGCCTACAGCACCTGGTATTCACAGGCAGTCTCCTATCCAAGTGGTAACCAGACCCAACCCTGCTTAGCCTTCCGAGATCAGATGAGATTGGGTGCATTCAGGGTGGTATGGCTGTAGACAAATTTGGGGTCTTTAAAAGTCATCTAAAGAGTGCTTGAGGGACAACCCTAAATCTTGAACACTGGTGTTCGGAGCAGCCTCTGTGAGGTACAGTAGAATGACATTGCTGTGCTGTCTCTGGTGGTGAAAAGAATGAATGTTGTGCTGTTGCTAGGAGCCTTGGCTTACCGTGGGACACTATAGTCAGGATGACCAATTAGTATTTGCCAGTTCATTGTTGGCAATAATTTAAAAGAAGTAGTGTCTGGAAGAATGACTTTCTTATGTGTTGAGTGCCCCTTTTTCTTTTCGTAGCTGCCATGTGGGTGCTGGGAATTGAACCCAGGTCCTCTGCAAGAGCAGTCAGTGCTCTTAACTGCTGAGCCATCTCTCCAGCCCCAAGTTCCCTTTTTCATGTTAGGATTATTATAACCATCCAGGTCAGCAAACATAGATGATAAAATCTAGGCAGAAGCTGGACATGGGGCTCATGCTTGTAATTTTAGCACTCTGCTAAGCACTGTGGGAAGAAAATTGCTGAGCATTTGAAGCCACCCTAGGCTACATAGTGAGCTCCAGGCCTGCCTGGGCTAAGAATAAGACACTTTCAAAAGCAAAAACCAAGAAAGCTAGGCAGACTAGCTTACCAGGAAGGCTAGTATGAAGGCCAACCATAGAATGTGATTGGACCATGATTGATTTAGTGTGGGTTGTTCTAAGGATAGTATTACTAGGTTTAAGGTTCTGAAGGTGTTGTTAAAGTTGATTAGGGAGATTAGTAGAGGGATTGATCCAATTAGAGTGTAGAATAGGAAATATAATCCGGCGTTTAGACGTTCTGTTTGGTTACCTCAACGTGTAATAATAATTAGTGTGGGGATTAGGGTTGCTTCGAATAGGATATAAAATAGTATTAGTTCTGTTGCGGTAAAGGTTATGATAAGGAATATTTGGAGAAGTACTAGGAGGCTGATATATATTTTTTTATAGTTATCTTGTTCTTTGGATAGGTGGTTTTGACTGGCTAGTAGTGTTAATGGTAGAAGTCATATTGTTAGGATTAGTAATGGTGTGGATAGTGAGTCTGAGATGAATGTTGTAGAGAAATTACAGCTATTTGTGGAGTCTTGGTGTAGTAGGGATAGTGAGATGAGGCTAATTATTAGGCTATAACATGTGGTGTTTGTTCATACTATTTTGTTGTTTGTGAATCAGGTTAGTGGTAGGAGTATAATAGATGGTACGATAATTTTTAGCATTGTAGGAGGTTAAGGTTTTGTACATAGTCTGTGCCGTATGTATTAGATACTATTACTAGTAGTGCTAGACCTACAGCGGCTTCGCAGGCTGCAAACACTAGAATAATGATTGGGATAATAAAGGATAATATTGAGTGAGTGTTTAGTGTGATTAGGGAAGTTATAATAAATAAAGATAAGATTATTCCTTCTAAGCATAGTAGTGTTGATATTAGGTGGGATCGGAATATTAGGGCTCTGAGTAATGATAGGGTAAATGTAAGGAGTAGATTAAAAAATACAGGGGTTATTTGGTACTCATGGTTGATACCCATGATTTAATGAGTCTAAATCATTTGTTTTAGTTAAACTAATTACCAATGTTATTCTGTTCATTCTAAGCCCTTGTTAAACCACTCGTATATTAGCCCTAGGGCTAAGATGGTTAGTAACCCAAGGGTTGTTAATACTACCCCTGTGAGACTGCCGTGAGGGTGTGGTAGTACATACCTGTATGTAATCCAAGTACTTAGGAGACTGAGGCAGGATTACCACCAGTTGAAGGTCAGTCTGTTCTATATAGCAAGTTCAAGGATATATAGCAAAACCCTGCCTCATACATCCGTACACCAAAATAAAAATAATAAGTAAAATATAAAAAAAGAAAGAAAAGAAAAACATTCCCATAGAGACAGAAGGATTGTTGCAAGTTTGAGACCAGCCTGCTCTACATAGCAAGGTCTAGGCCAGCCAGGGCTACATAGAGTACCCTGTCTCTTAATAATCAAAACAAAAATAACAGCAACAACAACAAAAAGCAAAATCTGGACAGGCTCCAAGGAGAATGAAGTATCA